AAAAGGCACTTTCTCTGGAAACAGAACAGCATTGCCTCTAACCAGGAACTCACCTTACTGGCAAAGAAGAGCTGCATTGGGCTCATGCCCATGGAAATCCCTTGTCTTACCCTATTCCCTAACATCCTCAATCAGCTGGTTTAATAAATGGGTAGAGTGGCCTTTTGAAGACTCAGTTACTCAGCTAGGAGGCAATACCTTGCAGGGTTGGGGCAAGGTTCTCCAGAAGGCCAGAAAGGCCATATATGCTCTGAATCAGCATCCAATATGTGGTGCTATTTCTCCCATAACCAGAATTCATGGGTCCAGGAACCAGTGGCTGGAAATCGGAGTGTTACCACTCATAATTACCCCCAGTGACCCACTAGCAAAGTTTGCTTCCTGTTCCTGCCAATTTATGTGCTGCTAGCCTAGAGGTCTTAGTTTCAGAAGGAGGAATGCTTCTACCAGCACACACAACAGTGATTCCATTGAATTGGAAGTTAAGACCTAGCCACTTTGAGCTCCTTATACATCTGATTCAATCATCCAATAAGGGAGTTAGTTACGGTGTTGACTGGGGTGACTGATCCTAACTACCAAGGGGTGTTTGGATTACTACTCCACAACGAAGGTAAGGAAGAGTATGTGTGGAATAAGGAGATCCCTGAGGGCATCCCTTAATATTACCATGCCCTGTAATTAAGGTCAGCACAAAATAACCCAATCCAGACAGGACTACTAATAGCCCAGACCCTTCAGGAATGAAGGTTTGGGTCACCCCACCAGGTAAAGAATCATGACCAGCTGAGGTGCTGGCTGAAGGCAAAGGGAATACAGAATGAGTAGTAAAAGAAGGTAATTATAAATACCAGCTATGACCACGTGACCAGTTATAGCAATAAGGACTATAATTGCCATGAGTATTTCCTTATGAATGCATTTATATGTATATATACATATATTAAGCATATATCTTCATTTATATAACATAAGAGGTATTAACTTTATATTAGTATTTAAGTATTTATTTTATATCATAGTATTTAAGTTATAGGATGTCAGAATAAGAGTAAACATTATTCAAACTTTACTTTCACTTCTGGGGAATGTGTTAGTGTGTTTTTGGTTGTATGCAGGATAGTTATAGCATTTTGGTAGAATTATGACCTTATGGAGATTAAATATGGTTAAAGGAGATGCTTATGGGTACCAGGGTGACAAGGGGCGGAATTTGTAATGGTTAATTTTCTGCATCAGCTTGACTGGGCTAAGGGATGCCCAGATGTCTGGTAAAACACTATTTTGGGGTGCGTCTGTGAGAGTGTTCCTGGAAGAGATTAGCATTTGAATTGGTAGACTGATTAAAGAAGATGGCCCTTACCATTGTTGGCAGGGATCAGTCAATCCATTGAGGACCTCAAAGAGAAGAACAAAACAAAACTTGAGGGGAAGGGCAATTTGCTTTCTCTGACCTGGGACATACATATTCTCCTGCTTCTAACATCAGGGTTCCTGGTTGATTCTCTGGCCTTTGGACTTGCTTTCCTGGTTCTCCTGGTTCACCTTTGCAGATGTGGGACTTCTTGGACTCCATAATTGCCTGAGCCAATTCCTATAATAAATAAATGTCTGTCACACACACACACTCATACATATGTCTGTTAGTTCTGTTTCTCTGGAGAACCATGATTAACACAGAAGGAGAAAAGACTAGGACAGATGAAGTACATGTTTTCAGTTATGTGGTAGTACCTGCCCATCCTTCCCCCCATTTCATTAGAACTCAGAAGAGAGGGACACAAAATAAAAGTGGTCTTCCTGCCTTCAGTAGTAGCATACGTTGAGCATAATTTAATTTATTCTTGATGATCCAGGGTAGTTGTAACAAATGAACACAATTGCTCTATATATAACAAAATGATGACTTTGAGTTTGTAAAGGTATGCGTGGCCTCTCAATAAAAAATAACAAATGCTTATAAAGTTGTCTTTATAAGTGTGTGCCAGGCACTGAGTGGATTGTATTGATTTCCTAGTTCATGTTTAGTGTTCACTGCTCAAGTTTTCACCTCTATTTATAAGGTACTACTTGTAATCATAGTCAGTATAAGGTAGTGCTGGCCCCAGCACTTACTGGCTAGGTGATGTTGGCAAAGTTACTTACCTTTTCTGAGGTTCATTTTCTTCATTTGTACAGGATTATATGAGTATGTCTATGTAAATATTTATGTATATAAAAGATGTCCCCAAGGGACATTTTCTATCCCCCAGCCTATCCCAAAGACACAAAGACTTGATTCCCACCTATATGGCTCCATGCGATCCATGAATGGAACATAGCCATAAAATGTCACAAAAATAGTATCTTCCTAAAAGAGTTATGAGGATTAAATGAGAGAATTCAGATAAACCATTTAACACAATGACACCTAAATCCTCTAAATGTTGTGCCTTACTGTATTCCTGTTTGTACTTTGTAAGTTTGAAATAATTGAAGTGCCTAGGGGAAGCCAGATAACCAAACATATTAAATTAATAACCTTTAATATTTTGTAGGGGCTTAAGTCTCTAAGCAGGCCGGGAGGGTTTGGAGGGGAAACAATTAAAAGATTTGTAGAGATAAAGACAAAAAAGGTAGAATGTGATACATGCTAAATGGGTGGTACGAAGTAGTATAGGAGTTTACAGGAGAAAGTGGGCAGTTTTGTCTGGTAATTAAAAAAGACTTGATGGAAGAGGTGACTTATATTGGGCTTGAAGATGAAAGGGTTTCAACAAAAATGTTATATAAGCTAACCTCTTTGCCCCTCTGTGCTGTGTGCATTGTACCAAAAGATGACAGCAACTTTCTGATCATTCCTGAATCTTCAAGGACTCCACTTACAAGTAATGGATTAGTGTCTTTGGTGAAAATCTGCTGAGGAGCTGCAGAATCCTACCTCCCAATTTAAATGTGACCATATGCCTTCAGTCCTAAAGAAGAGTAGAAAGTTAAATAACTTCCTTGAGATTCAGTTTCTTAAATGCTAACATTTGTTCATTTAAAAATCAACAGTCACCACCACTTTCCTCTAACAGCATCTGAGATGGAAGAGGCTGTGGAGGCCTGCCAGTCCACTAAGGCATCCTTTCCTGGCTTTTCTGGCCAATCTGAACTCTTAAGTGTTAGGCCCTACTTATATCCAGTGGAACTCAGAGTCTTTGTTGCAACTTCCATACAACAGATCACCCTTTTCCTTGAAGGAACAGCTCATCATCATATTCTTCTGCAGGGTCAATAGTCTTAATTTCCTTCACCTTCAGCTTCATATAAGCCAATTAGGGTTTTTGTAAGGGTAAGTCAATTCTGTTAACACCCCTTGTCTACATGCATATTTCCTCCCTTAAACAAACTCTAATAATTATTCAGTATCTAATAATTATGACTTCCTTTCAATATATGTTTATTTGATTCTACTGCAGAAATACAATAATATGTGCTAAGATCCTATAGAGTTTTAAAATTTTCTATATGCTTACCTGTCTGTAGATAAAGGTTCATAAAGGCATTTATAGACACTGTGAAAGTTAACCAGAAACTGCCTTTTAAAAAATAAACACTATTGTTTTATCTAAAGAAAACAAAAACAAACAAAAAAAAATGTACAAACCTACTCCCTACTAAACAGCTCTGTTCCTGTAGTTTGGGAGCAGAAATTTAAGTGTGCAAATTTGTATTTCTATAGTTCCAATAAAATAATAGAATTTCCCAGTTGAAAATGTCTTAAGCCTCTCCTCTCCTTCCTAGCTCCATTAAAAGAGCCATTGAATAGTATTGGGTAATTCTTAGAAAAGGATATATATTTCCAAATATATTTTCTATGCATTCGTCAGAAAAAAGATCAAATACATGTGCTTTTAGGCTCTTTCTTTTCTTTTCTTTTGAAACAGAGTCTTGCTCTGTCGCCTAGCTTGGAGTGCAGTGGCACAATATAATGGCTCACTGCAGCCTTGAACTCCTGGGCTCAAGCAATCCTTCTACCTCAGCATGCCAAGTAGCTGGGACTACCAGCACACACCACCATCTGCAGATAATGTTTTATTATTTGTTGAGGTGAGGTCTACCCTATGTTGACCAGGCTGGTCTTGAACTCCTGGGCTTAAGCAATCCTCCTGCCTCGGATTTGCTTTTAGTCTTTGCAGTGAATAGAAAGAGAATAAAGCATCAAAAGTTTTTTAATGATTATCTTGTAGATCTGGGTCTGCTATTTACAAGAAGTCGGAGAGAGGCAGAATCTCTCCCTGCCTAAAATTCACAGGTCCAGGGTAGTAGGGAGAGAGTGGCAGAATCTTCACCAGAGGGTATACAGACAGCCAAACACAACATCTCTGTGTGACAATATGAGCAAGCAGGCAGGAAGAGCAATATCAGTGTACAGTATACAATGACTGCCACGATACTTGGAAAAGAAAATGGAAAATGATGAATAAAGCTTAGACTTTCAGAGCTATACATGAGCAAATGAGCAAATCTAAACTTGTTCATATGATTGTTCTTGTACCCTCTTTGAGTACAAACAATCCTGTATCACATGATCCTCACTTTATATATTGCAGCATAGATAATTCACAGTTATCAGGAATACAAAACCTTATTCTTTGGATATGTTATAGATACTAAGAAGAATGTCATATTCTACTGAGCTCATGGTAACTCTAGAGGAGAAGTTAAAGATCCAATTCTTTCGCATTAGAGGAAGCTGAGCCCTGCAGAGTGAAATGGCCTGCCACATGTTAGTAGCATTAGAATTCACTCGCCAAGATTCATTCCAGTGTTGTTCCTGCTTATGTTATCCGATTTATTCTCTCCTGGATATTGTCATGTAATGATAAGGGCAGCAGAGAAGTTCAGGGGAAATTACATGATAAGGGCAGCAGAGAAGTTTAGGGGAAATTACATCCTAAACCTAGAATTCAAAGAATCAGATAAACTTCTCACAAGCAGCTTTGCTGATCTTTGGCCTTTTGTCTGTTTTTCAGATTCTGAACTTGCCTTGATGTACAACGATTCCTCGGTCTTAGAGAACCATCATTTGGCTGTGGGCTTTAAATTGCTTCAGGAAGAAAACTGTGACATTTTCCAGAATTTGACCAAAAAACAAAGACAATCTTTAAGGAAAATGGTCATTGACATTGTAAGTAGCTGATAAAAGCAAAAAAAAAAAAAAAAAAAAGAGAGAACTGTGATGCAAGTTGTTTATAATTTAGACATAAGAACAAGATGAGTATTAGGTAAAAGGAACTGCATTTCAAAACATATTATGGCCCTTTATATTATAGAAGCTGCCCATGATGCTGGCTGTGATGTTCTGTAATAGGTTTTTCACTTCTAGCAGTTTGGACTTGAGAATAATGTCAGCTCACCCTCATCATTTATTTTCTGGGCCCCTCCAGTCCGGTGGCAGGCAGAGAAAGATGACTAACAAAAGCAGATTGTGTGGGCCACAGCTCAAATGGATTTTTTTTCCACCTTTTCTCATCAGTAGACAGTGCCATTTAGAACATCCATGACTTTACTCTTTTTTCTATGCATCTTATTCAGTGATTATGAGACACAGGAAAATCTCTAGCTTTCAAAAACCTACTCTGTTAAATTTTGTACATACAAAGGCAAGAATGATCTGTCTTTTAAAAGAAAATTAACCAGAATATTTTGTTTCTGAAGCAGTCTTTAAGCAACCTTGAATCAGTTCATCAACTACTTTCTGGTCCAAGGAATGGAAAAAACTTGAAAACGTGTGATGATGTCTTATCCATGGAGATGTCATCCCATTTTTGACCATGAAAGTGGTTGTCAGTACCTAGCATTTCTGTATATTACACACATTTATCTGGGCTTTAGGAAAACTTGATAGCAAAGGGGAAAGGACTCTGCCCTCAAGAAGGAGTAAGGAATTTCTACTGTCATTAAAAGGCATAGTGTTGTTTTGTTCCTTTTTCATTCTCATATTCTGCATAATATTTTCATGTGTAAATTGTTTTCTCTGAACTGTACTCAATAATATACCTTTTGTATTTTAAGGTACTTGCAACAGATATGTCAAAACACATGAATCTACTAGCTGATTTGAAGACTATGGTTGAAACTAAGAAAGTGACAAGCTCTGGAGTTCTTCTTCTTGATAATTATTCCGATAGGATTCAGGTAAAACCTTAATAGAGTTTGCTCTGTGTGTGTGTGTGTGTGTGTGTGTGTGTGATACTTTCAGCAATTATAGGCAGGATTTTTATCCAAATTTTTATTCCTGAGAATTAACCAGGCAAAATTCTACTGGCCTTTTCATTTGCATCTACATTAATTTAAAAAACTAACACTCCACAGAACCAGCCAATTAAGCAGCTCTGAATCTAGTCAACCATGCACATAAACAGTTTCTCTTATGCTATTTAGATGCAGTAGAAGTGGCATAATTTGGAACTATTAATACAAGTGTGAACCATACATAGACACATCATGGTTGAGCTGTTTGGAATAAATCTTACACCATGTGTATTTTTAAGTGTCACAGTCATCCAATGTGAATTTCTAGATTTTTTTTTTTTTGAAAAGGAACAGGAGTGAATAGAGAATGCATCCATCTATTTTAGGTTCTTCAGAATATGGTGCATTGTGCAGATCTGAGCAACCCAACAAAGCCTCTCCAACTGTACCGCCAGTGGACGGACCGGATAATGGAGGAGTTCTTCCGCCAAGGAGACCGAGAGAGGGAACGTGGCATGGAGATAAGCCCCATGTGTGACAAGCACAATGCTTCCGTGGAAAAATCACAGGTAATGCATGAAGTGTACAGTTTTCAGGGATAACAGAGCTACCGCTTTAGCATTTGGTTACTTTGTATTACATATGATAGTATTTTACTGGATTTTTAAAATTACTTTGTTTTTGACAAGCTCAATTTCACCTTAGTATTTATGATCCAAAACACTTTCATTCTTATGACTTACATTCATATAGTCATATAGATATTCTAAGAAGATATTCGTTTATTATGACTATATTCATTTAATATATTCATATACATAGAGCATATGGCATTATTACAGTTATCTGGATTCACCTACAAATTGGTGATTCTAAAATAAGCCCTACCATGTCAACAACTGGAAAATTTTTTATGCTGTGAACATGCTCTTTAACCAAGGGTTCTAGAAGCTAATTTTGACCAGCTAGTAACAATACTTTGTATGGTCTGTTGTCGAAAATAGTGATAATTTTACCAAACTAAATTTAGTAGTCTTCTGTTCAGTATTTTATTTGTGGGCCATGATCTAGTTAAGCTTTTCCACTGTTTCTTAGTCCCAAGTCCTTTACTCATACTGGATTTTTTTCTTAACTAGGTGGGCTTCATAGACTATATTGTTCATCCCCTCTGGGAGACATGGGCAGACCTCGTCCACCCTGACGCCCAGGACATTTTGGACACTTTGGAGGACAATCGTGAATGGTACCAGAGCACAATCCCTCAGAGCCCCTCTCCTGCACCTGATGACCCAGAAGAGGGCCGGCAGGGTCAAACTGAGAAATTCCAGTTTGAACTAACTTTAGAGGAAGATGGTGAGTCAGACACAGAAAAGGACAGTGGCAGTCAAGTGGAGGAAGACACTAGTTGCAGTGACTCCAAGACTCTTTGTACTCAAGACTCGGAGTCTACTGAAATTCCCCTCGATGAACAGGTTGAAGAGGAGGCAGTAGGGGAAGAAGAGGAAAGCCAGCCTGAAGCCTGTGTCATAGATGATCGTTCTCCTGACACGTAACAGTGCAAAAACTTTCATGCCTTTTTTTTTTTTAGCAGAAAAATTGTTTCCAAAGTGCATGTCACATGCCACAACCACGGTCACACCTCACTGTCATCTGCCAGGACGTTTATTGAACAAAACTGACCTTGACTACTCAGTCCGGCGCTCAGGAATATCGTAACCAGTTTTTTCACCTCCATGTCATCAGAGCAAGGTGGACATCTTCATGAACAGCGTTTTTAACAAGATTTCAGCTTGGTAGAGCTGACAAGGCAGATAAAATCTACTCCAAATTGTTTTCAAGAGAGTGCGGCTCATCAGGCAGCCCAAAAGTTGATTGGACTTGGGGTTTCTATTCTTTTTATTTGTTTCCAATATTTTCAGAAGAAAGGCATTGCACAGAGTGAACTTAATGGACGAAGCAACAAATATGTCAAGAACAGGACATAGCATGCATCTGTTACCAGTAGGAGGAGGATGAGCCACAGAAATTGCATAATTTTCTAATTTCAAGTCTTCCTGATACATGACTGAATAGTGTGGTTCAGTGAGCTGCACTGACCTCTACATTTTGTATGATATGTAAAACAGATTTTTTGTAGAGCTTACTTTTATTATTAAATGTATTGAGGTATTATATTTAAAAAACTATGTTCAGAACTTCATCTGCCACTGGTTATTTTTTTCTAAAGAGTAACTTGCAAGTTTTCAGTACAAATCTGTGCTACACTGGATAAAAATCTAATTTACAAATTTTACTTGCACCTTATAGTTCATAGCAATTAACTGATTTGTAGTGATTCATTGTTTTATATACCAATGACTTCCATATTTTAAAACAACAGAAAAACAACTTTATGTTGCAGGAAACCCTTTTTGTAAGTAAGTCTTTATTATTTACTTTGCATTTTGTTTCACTCTTTCCAGATAAGAGCTCTTCACCAGTGTTTTTCTTCAGTGTGCAAAGTGACTAATTGTTCTATAATACTTTAATGTGTGTTATATCAAATATGTCTTAAGCTTCATGCGAATTCAGTCATCAGCTGGTGTTGTCTGAAGCAAGTGGGAGATATATAAATACCCAGTAGCTAAACCGGTCAGTGTTTTTGAGATATTTTCCTACTTAGTATCTCCTAATAACGTTTTGCTGTGTCAATAGACATGCATTTCACAAGTGCATATCTTTCTAATAATCTGCACATTTCATGCTCATTTTTATTGTTTTTACAGCCAGTTATAGTAAGAAAAAGGTTTTTCCCCTCGTGCTGCTTTATAATTTAGTGTGTGTTTGAACCTCTGTCCATGTTTGCTAGATGAGGTCTTGTCAAATATATCACTACCATTGTCACCAGTGAAAAGAAACAGGTAGTCAAGTTAGGGTTAACATTCATTTCAACCATGAGGTTGTATATCATGACTAGATTTTACTCTTGGTTTACAGAGAAAAGTTAAACAGCTAACTAGGCAGTTTTTAAGAATATTAACAACATATTAACAAACACCAGTACAATAACTAATCCTCTTTGGTTTTAATGATTTCACTATGGGATTAAGAACTATATCAGGAACATACCTGAGAAATGGTTTTAAGTATAGCAACTACTCTTCCTTAATGGACAGCCACATAACTTGCAGGAATTGCTTTATCACTTATCCTCGATCTATAAGCATATCTTGCAGAGGGGAACTACTTCTTGAAACACATGGAGGGAAAGAAGATGATGCCACTGGCATCAGAGGGTTAGTACTGTGATGCATCCTAAAATATTAGATTGATAAAAATTCTGCTTAAATAAAAAATTAGAGATCACTCTTGGCTGATTTCAGCACCAGGAACTGTATTACAGTTTTAGAGATTAATTCCCAGTGTTTACCTGATTATAGCAGTTGGCATCATGGGGCATTTAATTCTGACTTTATTCCTATGTCAGTCTTTGTAATAAAGTCTTTACCTTCTCTATGAAGACTTTAAAGCCCAAATAATCATTTTTCACGTTGATATTCAAGAATTGAGATAGAGGCCAAAGTGGGTATCTGACAAGTGGAAAATCAAACATTTAAGAAGAATTACAACCCTGAAAAGCATTTCTATTTGGAACTTCTCAAGGAGCCTTCCAGGGACTGGAAACTAAGTCATCAGCCAGGGAAATGACTCAAGCTGAAGACAGTCCCCTGAGATCTGGCTGATGCTTAGATCCTTTGAAATAAAAATTATGTCTTTATAACTCTGATCTCTTACATAAGGCAGAATAGGAATCAACTAGTTAATTGCAAGGTTTCTACTGTCTTTCCTCTGTAAAGATCAGATGGTGATCTTTCAAATAAAGACATATATTTGACCAAGTAGTTTCACAAGAACATTTGGGAACTTGTTTCCTTTTAAGTTTATTTGTCCCTGAGTGAGGTCTAGAAAGAAAGGCAAAGAGTCTAGAATTTATTCTTCTTTCCAAAACATTCTCATTCCTGTCCTCCCTACACTTAGTATTTCCCCCACAGAGTGCCTAGAATTTTAATAATGAATAACATAAAAAGCAGCAATATGTCACTTAACAAATCCAGACCTGAAAGGGTAAAGGGTTTATAACTGCACTAATAAAGAGAGGCTTTTTTTTTTTCAGTTTGTTGGTTTTTAATGGTACCACGTTGTAAAGATACCCACTAACAGACAATCAAATTGCAGAAAAGGCTCAATATCCAAGAGACAGGGACTAATGCACTGTACAATCTGCTTACCCTTGCCCTTCTCTCTCGCCAAAGTGTGCTTCAGAAATACACACTGCTTTAAAAAAGAATATCCTTTTACAAGTGGCTTTACATTTCCTAAAATGCCATAAGAAAATGCAATATCTGGGTACTGTATGGGGAAAAATATGTCCAAGTTTGTGTAAAACCAGTGCATTTCAGCTTGCAAGTTACTGAACACAATAATGCTGTTTCAATTTTGTCTTCTTTTGTATCAGTTAAAATTCACAATAATGTAGATAGAACAAATTATAGACAAGGAAAGAAAAAACTTGAATGAAATGGATTTTACAGAAAGCTTTATGATAATTTTTGAATGCATTATTTATTTTTTGTGCCATGCATTTTTTTTCTCACCAAATGACCTTACCTGTAATACAGTCTTGTTTGTCTGTTTACAACCATGTATTTATTGCAATGTACATACTGTAATGTTAATTGTAAATTATCAGTTCTTATTAAAACATCATCCCATGATGGGATGGTGTTGATATATTTGGAAACTCTTGGTGAGAGAATGAATGGTGTGTATACATACTCTGTACATTTTTCTTTTCTCCTGTAATATAGTCTTGTCACCTTAGAGCTTGTTTATGGAAGATTCAAGAAAACTATAAAATACTTAAAGATATATAAATTTTAAAAACCATAGCTGCAGGTCTTTGGTCCCAGGGCTGTGCCTTAACTTTAATCAATATTTTCTTCTGTTTTGCTGCATTTGAAAGGTAACGGTGGAGCTAGGGCTGGGCATTTTACATCCAGGTTTTTAATTGATTAGAATTCTGCCAATAGGTAGATTTTACAAAACCACAGACAACCTCTGAAAGATTCTGAGACCCTTTTGAGACATAAGCTCTTAAGTACTTCTTGCCAGGGAGTAGCACTGCATGTGTGATGATTGTTTGCCATCTGTTGATCAGCAGCTACTTCAGCTACTTGCATTTGATTATTCCCTTTTTTTTTTTTTAAACTCGGAAACACAACTGGGGAAATACATTCTTTCCCAGTGATTGATTATAAGCAATCTTTTTTTTTAAAGTCTTTTTAGCTTCTAGAGCTCATAGGAAAATGAACTTGGTTTGAAATTGGAGCCAGAGTTTACTCGTGTTGGTTATCTATTCATCAGCTTCCTGTCATGTTAAGAGAATATATTAAAGAGAAAATACCATTTTTTAATCCTAAAATTTTTCTTCCACTACGATAAACCAAATGTCCTTACATACATGTAAACCCATCTATTTAAACACAAAGTTGTGTCTGATGTCAGTTTACATAGCAGAAAGCATTCACCATCCTCTAAGATTTGTGTCTGCAAAACTTTCATTGCTTTAGAATTTTAAAATTTAACCTTGTACAATGGCCAGCCCCTAAAGCAGGAAACATTTATAATGGATAATATGGAAATGTCCTCCCACTACTTGCCCAGCCCTTGAATCACGTGGCTTTTCAGTGAAAGGAAAGATTCTTTTTCTGGGAAAAATGAGCCTCCTATTTTATTTTATTTTATTTTTTGACACAAACTGTAGATTTTAGCAGCCCTGGCCCAAAGAAATTTGATTACTTTTGTTTTAAACAGTACAAAGGGGACACTATAATTACAAAAACATCCTTAACTGATTTGAGTTGTTTTTATTTCTTTGGATATGTTTTCAGAGTGGTAAATTGTGTGTGAGAATTACAAATGATTCTTTTAGTGGTTTCTTAGCCTCTCTTACAGCCCACGGGGATAGTACTGTACATCAATACCTTCATATGAAATTTTTATATGCAATGAAAATAAAAGCATGGGTTGATTCTGCCTATTTATGACTCAATATTTTACAAATAAAAGATTATTCATTTTATAGTTCAATCAGCACGTTTCTTAGGATACTGAACGTGGTTGAAAGGAGAATAGTGACATCATAAGTTAGTACTGATATTCATAACCAAATGAAGCCAACTCGAGTTATTTTGCTACATTAAAATTACCAAAATTACTTAGATGGCCTATAAAATTAAGCACGGTATTTTCTAAGCAAGCTTTGGAAGGGGCCTTCTATACTTAATTGAATTTTCTGGGATACTGAAAATTATTCAGACACTTGACAATTATTTGTCGGTTACCTACTCTGCAAACTACAAAGTTTTAAGGATTCAACAATAAGTTAATGAGACACCATATTTGCTTTCATGGAGCTTACAGTCTGGAGGGGACAAAGGCATTAAACAATTCAATACTCATATAATTATATACATGATCAGTACAATGAAGGAGCTCAGTGGGGTGAATAAGCAGAAACCTGAACTTGATCTATTCCGGAGGGCCAGGGAAGGCTTCCTTGAGGCCTTGAGAAAGTGATTTGCATCTGAGTTCTGAAGGATTTTAAGAGGTAACTAGGGGAAAAGTTGATAGAAAGAGGAAGGGGATCCAGACAGGAAACATTTGCAAAGATCTTGAGGCATAAATGAGCTTGAGACATCTGGAGAAACTGAGGAAAAGTGAGAGAGTAGGTAGGGCCTGGAGCCGCAGAGCCATTGCTAACCATCCTGTGTGAGAGCTCCCCCATTCTGTAGCTTTATTCTCATAACCCTGCTCCATTTTCTTTATAACACTTCTCACAGATTTATATACGCAGCTGTTTTTGTTGTCTGTCTCTCCCACCAGACCACAGCTCCGTGAGAGCAAGCTCTTTGCTTACCAATGTATCACTAGCACTTAAAACTATGCCTGGTTCACAGTAGGTTCTTAATATGTGTTGAATATAGCCACCAAATTGATACTGGATATAATTCAATCTGATAAGATATTTTGAGATATTAAAGAGTTTTTAACTTGATACCATAAGAACTTTGTTTGTTTTTTGTTTTTGAGCTTACTAAGATCCTGGATGAAGAGTTTAGAGTTTCCTATCTCTTTGCTAACTAAAAACTCTGTTTGCTTATTCCTCACAAATTCTTTTTTCTAAATGACAAAACAATCCATTTGTCATGATAATGAGAGCAAAGAAATCAGCACAAATTTAATCCCCTGATAATCTCCAAACCATGCCAGCAGAATAAGGGTAATTAAACAGAGTATCTATGCTTAGCCTCTCCACCATTTCTCCTGCCACAACAGTCCTGATAGCCCAAAGCTGCCAAATTTGTGCCTTCCTGGGAATAACTGTTTTAAAATCAAGCTCCCTTCCCCAAAGCCATGACCCCAAAGTGAGACTATGGAACTAAGGAAGCAACTCCCTTCTTTTCCCGACTTGCCATACTTGCTGGTCAAGGCTAATTTGGGTAGTGTTGGGCCTGAACTCACATTAAAATCACTGACCTGGAAACCTTTCCTCAGGACACGGCTTTGGACCCACAACAGCAACATTCCACCAAAAAACAAACCAAAACCAAAAACATTCCCTGTTGCTAGAGAGTACCACCAACCCTCCAAGGCGAGGACAACCTTGTGTCAGTGGAATCATACCTAGGTTTTCTCATCCTTCTGATTTGGGTACTGCATCCCACTCAGCTACTCCGACAGCTCCAAATACTCAAGATCAAACTCAGTGCTATGGGTATAAATATTGAATTTGTGCACCTAGGAAATACTACTTTCTTTATTTCCTTTAAAACAATCTGGACTCAGGGCTCCAGCCAGTCACACACTATTGGGAATTTCCATCTGTCATTAGTGGCACAGCTCCTCTCTCTCCTAACATAAAAGTTATCTTATTTCCAACATAATCTGAGTATCAGACCTCTGTGTGGTTCCAGCAGAGGTTCCTTACAGTCCCTCAGCTCTTAGCTTCCTGGCCACACGTGGTGTACCAGGAATATATGCTGGTTTGAGGCCCTGCTTCCACACAGGGTGTGCATCAAAAGAGCCTATCCTTCCGGTGTTTTATTACACCTTGCTGTGGTCTGAATGTCTGTGTTGAAATGCTAACCCCTAGGTGATGCTATTAGGAGATGGGGCCTTTTGGGAGATAATTAGGTTATGAAGGCGGAGTCCTCATGAATGGGATCAGTGCCCTTATAAAAGAGGCCCGGGACCTTGTTCAACCCGGCCACCATGTGAGGACTCAGCTAGAAGTTGCCATCTGTGAAAATGAAAGCAGGTCCTCACCAGACACCAAATCTGCCAGAACCTTGATGTTGGACTTCCCAGCCTCTAGACTGTCAGAAGTATATGTGTGTTGTTTATAAGCCACCCGCTTTATGGTATTTTCTTATAGAAGTCTAAGGAGACTAAGACATACCTACTGAAATTACTACAAAAAAGCAGTACTCTCCTTTTCCTAATTATCAACCCACTCTCCTCCTTCTCTCTCCTTCCTTCCTTCTTTTGCTCTCCAATGAGATTAGGCTTAAAAATAAAAACAAAACAGACTAGAGGTAGTTGTGACTTCCATTTGCTTCTGCTCTCCACTCTACAAAAACCCTGGTTATTATTTTAAATATGGAGACGAAAAAAGATATTGGAAGAGCATATATTAAATAATAGTCCATTAACCTTCCACACAGGGTTGGCAACATCTAGATCCAACAATGTTCACTGAACATTTTGAGATGTGGGAAGGTGAGGAAATTGTCTCCAGGAGGAAGTCATCAGGACCTCCCATACTTCCTATGTGGGAACACAGGGAAAGAGGCATTTTTTCCTGAAGCCTCTGTGTTCCAATGCTATCCCTGAACATCTATTCCCAGCTCTCACTTAGCTGTTTCAATGACAAGATACAGCACTTGAAAATTTACAAAGTGAGGGTCATATTTGCTCCCTGCTGCAAACCCCCATCCTGCCATTCCAGGACCCTGTTATGGTCCACAAGTGGCATTATGATTCACTCTATTTTGTAGCTATGAAAAGTGAGGCCCAAGAAGGTTAATTGACTTGGTTAAGATTATTCACAGGCTAAATACTGAGACTAATGACTTGCAAACTACAGATTTGACAGAATTCTTAATGCTATCTCTACATCCTATTTCTGTTGAAGACCAAAAGTGACTGTTGCGTTGCCTTTGATCTCCTTTGACCATCCTTCATTACAGATTTCAGTAATTTTACAGTCCAAAGCTAGGTGACTGATATTACATCATATGCATTTGTTAACTCACCCTACGTCTGCGTAGCGTTGCTATATGGTCAGAATTCTCCAGATTGAGTGGGAAACTTGGAGTTAAAGAGCCCCTGACTACCTAAAAAAATTATAGAAAATGAAAGAAGCTGTCAAGAAAGTAAGGAGCAGAGATGGGAGCGTGCCTCTGCCTGGCGGAGACTCACAACATGGGGCAAGGCAGATCTTAGAGCAACTTCTTGCAGGACGTATTCCTCAATGAAAGGAATGGAGCGCGGGCAGCATCCGGCTTAGGCTGGAGCCCCTTCCACCATCATGGCTGTTTAAGCAAGGTGTTTGCCAGGTGCTCACAAATCCCAAGCCAACAGACATGGTTTCAGGACCTGAATCACACAAACATATTTCTGAAAGGCTCTATCACCTGAGAGTTGCTTTTCCTTCCCTCCTTGTTTTTAAACCAAAAAGCAGACCAAGTGCATAGTGGCAAACACTTGCTCAGCACCCATCCATGCAAGGCACTGCTTTACCACCAGGCTGCATTAATTCGAGAACCCAACCGTCTCTCACCTTGCATCTTCTTCACACTTTGCTCATTTTCTCTCTAACACTGATGGTTTCTGTTTCCTGCTGTTCAGTTACAGCATCTGGGAAGAGAGTGGCAGAGAATGCCAGGCGACTGCACCCTGCCACAGTGGGTCAAGCAGAGGCTGGGTGCTGACACCCATCTTTACCCAGCAGAAGTCAGTGGTTCATGGGTGGGGAACAAAGCTCACGACAGCTGCTGCAGTCCAGAGAACTGTCCGCCATAGAAGACTCAGGAAGCAGTCCCCGACCCCGACCCTCTGTGCTTTTTGAAGCCGTGTCTGGTATCACATGGAATTATGCAGTAGTCATAGAATATCTTTGAAAACTTATATTCTAAAAATAATTGCTGGGATCAGTGATTAAAATATCTAATGAATGGACTGGAAAAGTCGAAAACAAGCAAAGGTGAGAGAAAAAAATTGAGGAAAACTGGGAGAAAGTGAAGGAAGGTGGACCCTTTGTGCCACAGCATCCAAGGACAGTTGATGATACCTTCTGTTCCCCACAGGACCAGGTTCCTGGTGCTTAACGTAATGCATAAGGCCCTGAAGGATCTAATCAAACTAAATCATCCCCAACTCCTCCCTCCAGCCCCACATAAATACCCCTGTGCCTCAGCTAAATGCTGCCTTGACATCTTGCCTTTACATCTCTCTGCCTGGAAAACAGCTCATCCCTCTTGATCCAGTTTAAATACACCTTTGTCTGGAAAGCCTTTCCCATTAGTATTTTATACACACCCCTATAATATTTCCCCTAAAATATGTTGTATTTTTTAAAAATATTTTCTTCTCTCACTAGATTGTGAGATTTTTATTTTTTATTTTTGAGACAGTCTTACTCTGTCACTGAGGCTGGAGTACAGTGGCGCAATGTTGGCTCACTGCAATCTCTGCTTCCTGAGTTCAAGTGATTCTCCTGCCTCAGCCTCCTGAGTAGCTGGGATTACAGGCATGTACCACCACATCCAGCTAATTTTTGTAATTTTTTAGTAGACATGGGGTTTCGCCATGTTGGCCAGGCTGGTCTCAAACTCCTGACCTCAGGTGATCCGCCCACCTTGGCCTCCCAAATTACTAGGATTACAAGTGTGAGATACCACGCCTGGCCTAGATAGTGCAATTTTTAAACAATGTATTCCTTTTTGGTTGCTAGTAAGGAATTAAGTAAGGATATTAATATTTGACTATTCTTTCCCCACTAACACCAACTCTTCTCAAAATGTGGTCCTTGAGCTGAAATTAATGTGAACTAGGATCTTGTTAGATTATTATCTAGCCCCAGACCAAGCCTCCAGGAAAAGACTCTCTAGGGGTGGACCCTAGAACCTGTGTTTTAACAAGTACTCCAGGTGATAAGTATGCTCCCTAAAGTTTGAGAAACACTGTTCAAAGCATCATGGAGATGTTTTTCTATCTTTGTTTTTTTTTTAAGAAGCAAGTTAATAATCTCAACCACCTTTCTAATGTATTGCATTTACTCAAAGGGATACTTGTTGCTGCAGGAGTTACAACAGATGACCTAGTGAGGGCCACAGGCAGTCTGAGGAACAGTTGTATTCCATGTTTGGCCAATGTCCATCAAGAAAGAAAGGAATAGTGAAGCCAGCTATTAGCTCCCTCCGGCAGAGGAAACCTGGGACTGGGAGTCACCATCAGGCAATAATGGCATCACAAGCAGGCATGGGTTAAAGATTTAAATGTTGTAAAAAGAGAGAAAAACCAGAAGGAAATTACATCCACAGGATCCCTGCAAGAACATTAATGTAATGAACAGAAATCAAACACCTTCTCAGTCTTCAGGTGCCCTATTCAGGCTCACTCTGCTAATCACACAGCTGAGTGCCCCTCTGCTTTTGTAACTGTGTGAAACCACACATCCCAACCCAAGATGACTGGGGATCTACCACCACAAGGGGCCACCAAAGAGCCAAATGACACAACCCAGAAGTTCAGTGGTGGTAACACTCCATGGGGTTAACTTTAACTACTGGGAAACTAGAGATGGGAAGGAGCCAGTAAATTAATTTCTTCTTCTCTCCCAAGACTATACTGAGCCATAGCCTCCCCCTTGAAGCCCATCAGGATGATTCTGCAGTTCCATGTCAGCAGGAGCGCCTACCAAGCGACCTGCAGTGTCTCTTGGCTGCTCCTTGTAAGTCAGTAGCCAGCATAGAAACATCTTCCCTACTTTCCTGTATTTC